TGTGAGTTCGAGGCCAGCCTGGTCTACAAACAAGTCCAGGACAGCCAGCTTTACACAAAGAAATACTGTCTTGAAAAACCAAAGGCCAAACAAACAAACAAAAACGTGCCCGTGCAACGATCATGATACAAAAGCAGAACGATTAACCAGTCTCCCGACCCTAATACTCTATACTGTGTCGTTACAACATGGTCTTCAGAAGAACTGACTCGGTAGAGCTGATCAGGGGTTGTTAATAACCTCCCAGGAAGTAATCTTTCTCTTCTTCAGGCCATACTGTCTGACTCTACCAACTTTCTCTGAGACAGAGGAATGCAGTTATCCAGTGGGTATCAGGACCAAAGTTAAAAATAAAGCAACTTAACAGTTTTTTTTTTTTTTTTTTTTTTTTTTTTAAAAAAAATAAGTAAATATTTTTTTTTTTTTTTTTTTTTTTTTTTTTCTGAAAAATCTGGAGCGCTATTAACTTGTAATTGCTGGAGCTCATGGCTATCTTGAACCAAATAAAATGGTACATATGACAGAATACAATTAGGACAGTGTGAACACTGGATAATTGGCAGAGTGAAGAGTTACTGATTTTTGCTAGTTGATAAGGATATTGTGGCTTTATATCCTACCTAGGATGTATATTAGAATGATCCTGGATGCTGTTATATGATGCCTATAATTTGTTTCAGAGTAATTTTTGACTTGCAAAAGACAAGCCACAAATTGTTGGTCATTCTCATTGCTAAATGTTGAATACTATGGACTTACATTTTCTATTTATTTTATGTCTATTCAGGATCTTCCATGATACGGTGTGTATACTTGTGTGTAGGCATACACACATGTAGCTTATATTGTTAGCTCTTCCAACATATTTTAGTGAGTGATGGCGGATAGACTAATATCCTTTCTTTAGACACTCTTGGGTCCCTCAGAGCAGATAAGAAACACCTGTAAAGTCTCACTCACAGCCTGTAGACTTGTGTCATGGTCCATTCACACCAAAGCATTTACATACAACTTGCAGTATTGAAGAGAGCATGTGGACATGGCATTTATCATCTTGTCTGTGCTGTAGATGAGGTATATTTTATATAAAAATAGTTTGTTAAGTAGGAAAAAAAATGTCGCTGTTTGCAGGGCTATTTCATTTTCTGTTATTTAGTCGGTTGGCAATGAGCCCTTCTAGGGGTCTGTTTGCAAGTCCTTATGCAGCGCAAACTAGTGATAGACATGAGCTTCTCAGGTGAGAGGCAGAGAGAGCTGCAGAGCTGCACATGACCAGCCCCCAGGGGGTCGGCACTGAAGCAGGACATGTGTGGTGAGACTGACGCCCAAAGCACCAGCACTTTTTTTTTCCACATTTCCTGTGAATAACTCTAAACCCAGACTTGCGTGTGCTCTTTCCTGAATTTCAGTTTCCTCAAGTATTTTTGGAACACAAAACCCTGAGCAGTGGGATTAGGCCCTCGCTTTCTGCCTCTGATATAGTGTGTACCCGTTGGTAAGGCTCTAAATAGACCCTGTGGGCTCCAGGGCTCTAAAGGCCCCTGGTTCTATTTTCTGTGAGCTTCCTGTCTAGTAGGAAGCGGGTGGGATAATTTGAAAACAAGCCAAATGAGAGGTGCAGAGAGGGATGATATCTTCAGAGAAGGGGGTGAAGAACCCATTGGAGGCAATCTGGAAAGGCGTAAGATGCTATCCAGAAGAGCTGGGAAAGCTCTGATGGTCACTAAGCGAACGATAGAAAAGCAAAGGGAAGGCCAGGGCCATCAATAGAAAACAGCCCTGAAGGAGGAGAACTGGGAAATCTTGTAGGCGAATGGTCTCCAAAGCCCACCAATGGAGAATTTTTTTTTTTTCTTTTTAAGACCAAAAGAGTGTCAGGAACAATCAGGTGGAAAGCCTGACAGTGAAATTAGCAGAAATTGCAGCTTTGCCCGTGTAAAAGTGACAGTTGAAGCCATTGGGTCTGTGGCATGTGTTTCTCTCCCGTCTGCCATCAGCAAGTGACACATTTTTGAGTATGCATTTTGAATTTGGCGTTTGCAAAACTAGCAGCCCATTATTTACTACGCTAAACCATGCTCAGCGCTCAGAGCAGTACCCAATTACTTCAGGAACATTCCCCTCGCTGGAAACTGAAAGGGCTTGGAGCTGGAGAAAGCCAACATTTGGAAGGCTGTGCCTGTGGCGGTAGCTTTATTGGTAGGCTTATGATCTCCCTCAATGATGGCCTAAAGCACGCGAATTGCTTTTTATTGTTGAAAAAAAAAAAAAACGTTATTCACGAAATTGAAACACTCGAACAGATTTATGAACCTGTATATCTACGTTCCCCAATACATTTGGGCCAAACACTTATTCTTTCTCTCATCCCAAAGTTTGAAGAGTGATTTCTTAAAAAAAGAAAAAAAGAAAGAGATGTTATATTCTTCCGATTGCAGGATTCTGCTTGTTCTAGAGACAAAGCATTTTAAAACCAGCCACACTTACTTCATGTAAAATACTATCTATTGGGGTATGAGTATATTTCATTATTTGGACTCACTCAAGCCTGAAGTGATTTATGGATCCACAGCTGTTCTTCATGCTCATGAGCTTATTCTTAGATGTGTGTACAAGCCAGGTGAGTTTATATTTGAGAGAATTTGGCCAAGCAGAAGTTAGCCCAAAACATCCATCAAAAATAGCCCTGATTCCAAGTTCCACAGAGCCTGGAGACAGCCCAGTGTGCTTTTATGAAGCCGAACATGGACATCTCTCAAAAACTTCCCCAGGCAAAGAAATCAGGAAAAACACTGCCTTTTTCTTTTTTGGGGGGGTGGGAGGGGTGGGGTGGGGGGGATGAGGGATTATAACTGAGCAACATTCTGGTAACTAAAGTAACTTTGGGAGACTGTCCATGCTGATGCAAGATATTAGGGCTGTTAAGGTTTTTACTTTCATTTGTCCTCCTCCTCTCTCTCTCTCCAGCTTTCAGCTACCATTGGCAAGACAACATGATGTCCTTTTGTGCCTTTTGAGTGTACAAATCCAGCTACTTATTCAAATATCCCCTCACCCAGCAGAGTTGCTGAGGAGTCATTAGCTGAAATTGATGAGGTCAATGGGTACATGGATTCTACACAATCTTTGTATTTTCAATCACTCTGTGGTGTGTTAAGTTTCAAAGGAGAAATGCATTTCCTAAGGGAGAAAGAGGAGGAGAATCAGAGCTCACTCGTAGGAGGACTGAGGAAAGCTCCCATGGTCAGGACTTGGAAGTCCTCCAAAGGTCCAACAGGCTCCAGGAAACTCGGGCAATTGTCATGGTATTAGAGGCAGTCCAAGGTGCCAGAGTCAAAATAAGGGCCACCACTGACCACAGCAAATGGCCACGTGGGAGTGTATGTAGGTCACTTACACATTTTGAATTTAGACGGGCTGAGTTTACACAATTATTTTACAACTAAGCTCTGGAGAAACCCCAAATGTTCTGAATTTTTTGAAGTCACCTATTTCACAATGTGTAAGGAAATCACAGCATCACAACATGTGCTTTAAAATGGTATGTCCTCAGTGGCTCTCATTGCACATGGATAGCCAGGTGGGGAATTCCATTTGTGCTGACCTTCCTTGCTTTACACGGATGCTGGCATTTTCTTGGGCAAATTTTGGAGTTCACTGTGACACCCAGGACACAAGCACTTCCTCAACCACATTCAGTAAACTCTAGTTTGATGCAATGAAAAATAATAAAATTGGAAATTGGAGCTTATAACCCCTGGGCCTCAGTCCCACAAGTAGTTTTTGAGCATCAGTCATGCATGCATGACCTGATGTGGGAAGTTCCCAAAACAGGGAAGGGTAGTCAGGAAGACACAGTTTGCCCAGTCCTGCCTACACTTCATTCTTTTCCCGTGTGGCCACGGATTTCCTCTCTCCAGGTCACCTGTCTCTTTCAATGCTTCCCTCTGTAACCTTCCACAGGTGACAAGGGGGTCAGATTGGCTCCCTGGGAGATTTGTGACTAGTGAGACCTCAGGCTTCTAAAGTAGGGACCAAATTAGTAACATCACAAATCCTGCCTTTGTTTTTGCTAAGTGCTGCTGTTGAGTTCTAACTTAATGGAAGTGTTTGCTTTCCCATAAATGCGTGTAAACTCCTACCTCTTGTCATAGCCAGAGAAAGCTCAGTCAGTGGCAATCAAGGACCGAAGCATATTTAAAGCAAATGGCTGTAATTGAAATTCTCAGTGTAAGCAATGCCACAGGCACGGTTTATGGATTTACCAATTGTTCTGCCCTGTTATAGTTTTAAAGCTGCCACTGAAATTTGTTTTAATTAACAGGCCTGTAATTTAAAAAAAAAAAAGTTGTATGTGGTACAGTAAAAGTCTGTGTGGTTATAAGAAAATCTCGACAACCTGACCCATTCCCTCTGTACTGCTGTCTTTTTGCTTGACATGCTCTTCCCTCATCCATGCAGGGCTGGTTCTTTCTTTAATCTTCAGTTGTCCTCGTCTATGTTCCTAACGCAGAGGTGACATTCCCTGTGATTCCCTCCCCTGGTCCCTCATTCACCCACATTGCTTTGCTTTATGATCCTGGCTTCTGGTCTTCTCTGAAGTTACCTAATAGTTTGCTGGCTTCTTTTCTCCATGTCTCTAGAAGGACACATTGAGAAGGCCAGGGTCATGCCCATCAGATTTACCCACAAGCTTTACAGTTGTCTGTCTAGTACTTATAAAGTGGCTTGGCGCACAGAAGACCCTCGGAGATGATGCTTTAAATGATTGACAGTTCATAAGAATTAAATAATGGTTGTAGCCCAATGTCTGGTATATACTAAGGACCTAGCAGATGGAAGTTTTACTTCTCTCCAGCCTTCTCCATGCTTTAGAGGCTGACTTAACACAGCATTCAGTGATCATGAGCACAAAAATTCAGGTCTAGTCGAGTACAGAGTACTCACCCCTTTGTGCTCACAGAAGAGTGATCTATTTCTGATTTTTTATTTTAAAATAGGCTGTCCTTGTTGGAAGGCATCATGAATTGGCATTTCCCCTTCTTCGTCCTGACCACAGTGACTTTGCCCTCCGTGTACTCCCAATTCAACTCTCTGTCGCTGGAGGAACTAGGCTCTGACACAGGGATCCAGGTTTTCAATCAGATCGTTAAGTCACGGCCTCATGAAAACATCGTTGTCTCCCCACATGGGATCGCATCCATCCTGGGCATGTTGCAGCTGGGGGCCGATGGCAGGACAAAGAAGCAGCTCACGACAGTGATGAGATACAGCGTGAACGGTGAGTGTGTGCTCTCTTCCCTCATTCGTGAGGCCTTGCCAGCCGTCCTGCATGCGAAGGGACATAGCTTGGTCTCTGCTTAATCTGAAAAGCAGGACAGCCAAGAGGAGTCATGCCATGCCATCTGGAACATAGAGCCAGGGCCTTCTAAAGGAAAGATGGCATGCCCGATGTTAGGTATTGCACTTTTGGTTCTGTAGCTGTTGGGTTTTGTGCTCCCTCTGTCCACTGGCACTACTGTTTTCTCATCCCTTGGGGGAAATCTTTTGTGTTATGAGCATTCCTTATGAAACAGGTCCACACTAGAGCATGGCAGTGTGGGACACTTTTGGTGGCAGAGCTGCCCTGTACTGGTGGTGATGGGGTGATGTGAGTCCTTATGTGTGATGGAAGTGCACAGAATTGCTCACACACATGCACGCACATGCAACAAGCATATATGAAAAGTGAGTCAAGTCAGAATGAGCTCTGTAAGGCTACATTACAGTTTCCTGATACGGTCACCATGACATTGGGGAAAAAACTTGATTAAGGGCACAAGGAATGTCCCTTTTCTGTGTTTTTTAATTTTTAAAAACTCATTAATTTTGGGGGGTGGCATGCATAAGTTCGTGTGTATGGGGGTGCAGAAATGTGTGGAAACTAGAGGTACATGTTGGGCGTCTTTCTCCATCATGTTTCTTATTTTTTGAGTTTGCCAATGCAGTGAGACGAGCTGGCCACTGAGCCCTGGGATTCCACCTGCCTCTGCCTCCCCAGTGCTAGGGTCACAGGTATTTACCACCTGGTTTTATATAGATGCTAAGGGTCTTGTGCTTATGTGAAGCACTTTAGTGACTGAGTCATCATCCCAAACTACCCTGTCTGCTGATCTAAAGCCACTTGTAAATCTGAAGTGGAAAGCTAAATGACTTTAAACAAAACACACAAACAAACAATCTAAGGCCCAGTCACTAGACACGGTAACTAACATATGCTTGTTATCATAGCACTTGGGAAGCAAAACAGAGGGATCAAGAGTTCAAGACCAGTCTGGCTATAGCCTATCTATCTCGAAACAGTGAAATGAACCTGGAAGTATAGCTCAGTGCTAGGGGGCCTGGTTTGATATTTAGTTCCACAAAAGCACAAACAAACAAACAAACAAAATATTAACAATATTAACAGATAAGGCACTGTGAGAAAGGCTTGGTGTTATTGAAAGAAAGCTTATTTTGAATCACCTGTTTAGCCGTGTTTGCAGGCAGTATTTCCCTGTAGGTTAGCTCTTACTAGCCTTCTCTCCCTTTCCATAGCTGTAGCACCCGAGGGAACAGGACTGACTGCTTCTGAGCTCTCCTTTGCTGTCAGGCACACTGAGTGAGAGCAAGCCATGTTTGACATGAAGGTGGCAGTTACCTCATTGGAAAGTGAGGGAGATTTCTCACCATATCCTTTCTCTCTCTTCTAGTGATGAAATTCTAAGGCTCTTGACTACATTGGCTCCTGTGGCCAAGATATGGCTAAATGGGTGGTGGAGGAAGACTTTTCCTTGCCTCTAGCTGTTCCCACTTCCTTTGTGTTTTAGTGTAACCCTCACCAGGGCTGAGGTCCCCATGTGCCCAGTGGTACCCTCTGTCAGCAGGGGTGAATTTTGCTTGCTTTTGTAGTTTGCCTCCCTGTTAGATGTGAGGAAGGGCTGAGTTCTTGGGACATAGTGTTCTGTCCCTGCCTGGGAAGTTCAGGGCTGTTGGTGATTTATACCACCTCTATGAGTCACTGCTTAAATTTATGTCCTTTCTTGCTGCCATCCAGGGCCTGTCAGCCAGCACAGTTCCAAAATAGCAACTGGGGTTGTGTCTTGTTGTTTGCCTGCTCTGTGTTAGTTTGGTTTTAATGTTGCTCCACTGTGATTTTAGATGTGCATCTTCATGACGTTGGCCTGTTGGCTTCCAATCCACCTCCACCTCTTCTCCAGAACTGCCAACAGTCATATGTAGAATGTGATGTCAGGCTTCATGATATACTCATTCAGGCTGGAGGCCATGTTTGGGGCTGTAAGGATTCGCTGTGGTGATGTTCACCTAGGAAGAAGTGAGCCTATTTGGGGTACATATGAGGGTGTGGGAGATGTGTAATGTAGTCATTACTCTTACTCATTGCTGGGATAAAACAGCCTGACAAGAGCAACTCAACGAAGGCAGGATTTATCTCAGTTCGCAATTTGGAGAGAAAACGATGGCAGCAGGAACTGGAGGCAGCTGAGCAGGAAGTAAAGAAGAAATACCTGGTGCTCAGGTCACTTTGTCCTGTTTTATTACGCCTGGGACCCCAGCTCCCATGACGGTACCTCCCAGGTGCAGGTATCTCCTGGGTATAGAGTGAGTCTTACCACCTCCGTTAACCTAATCTGGAAACTCCTCCACAAACAAGCCCTGAGGTGTGACTCTTAGGTAAATCTAGAATCTGCCAAGTTGGTAGTTGATTATCCCGAGGAGACACTGTACTTGTAGATGGAGTAGAAGCAAAAGTGCCAAGGCTGGCACTCGGCCTTGGAGGTGTCTTTTGGTACCCCAAAGCCTGCTGTTCTGCATAAAACGGCTTCCCTGTAGCATGGAGCGGAGCTGAGTGAAGGTTCTGAAGCCCCATCCACAATGTAAAGCCTTCCTTGTGAACCAGGGGCCGCCCTAGCCCTGGCACTCATGGAATCTGAGGGACGAGCACATTAAGAATGACAAGGCAGCCCTCTGGCACCATCAAGGTGACTCTGGCAGGGTGCTTTAGGGCAATATGATTTTGAAAAGACCCCAGCTAATTAGTATAGTCCTGGAATTCAGCTCCCTGAATGAGAAATCCATCTCATCCTTATGGCATTTTTTTTTTCTCTTTTTCGTGCCCCCAAACTAAATGGAGCATGAATGAATGGCCCATGTAAAATAAAGCTTATGTTGCCATAAAATTAATTTCTTTACTTTCCAAGCTCAATATCAAGTAAAAATCACAGTGTTCTGGTTGGCGGCACATGACAATTTGTAACAGTCTTCCTAATGCTTATTTTATTCATTTTCTTTTCTCCAAATAGAAAAAAAAAATCACATCGTTAAATCCTTGGCAAGAAAGGAAATAGTGCTTCAGAATGATAGGCAAAGGAGTCTGGATGAGGAGGCTGCCATTCATTTCTTCCATGGCTGCCAGTCCATGGAAGAAGGGAGTCCAGGGGAGACCAGCATTCATGCTGACCATAGAACAACATCATGACATACCTGCTTGGTTCTTAAAAGAACTTTCATGGCTTATTTTAACACTGTCCGAGCCTCCAGAGATAGAGGCCCCTTTCAAGGCAAATTAGTTTCTCATAACTCCTATCTTGTTGTTTTGTTTATGCTGTGGTACGAATGATAAGATTTTTTTTTTGGTGCATGCACTATGTCTACTTGTCTGTGTGAGTTTAAGAGCACACATGTCCTTGGCAGCTCAGTATCCAAGTGGATTTCCTAGTAAGGGGAACAGGGACTGTCTCTGACATGAACTCAGTGGCTGGCTCTTTGAATCACCTCCGCCTGACGGGGGAGCAGCCTTACCAGGCCACAGAGGAAGACAATGCAGCCAGTCCTGATGAGACCTGATAGGCTAGGGTCGGATGGAAGGAGAGGAGGACCTCCCCTATCAGTGTATCAATGGACTTGGAGGGGGACAAGGGAGGAGATGAGAGAGGGAGGGAGGGGGCTACAGCTGGGATACAAAGTGAATAAACTGTAATTAATGTAAAAAATAAAAATTTAATTAAAATAAAAAGCACACATGTGCATCCATGTGAGGATTAAGAGCTGATACGGAGTTTCTTCCTTGCTTGCTCCCAACTGTAAATATTGAGGCAGTGTCTCCACTTGAACCCGAAGCTCACCAAATTGGCCTGCTAGCCAGCCAGCTCTTCTTAGTGAATCTCCTGTCTCCACCTCTTTCCGGGTGCTGGAATTTTAGGTGGGCTGCCGAGCCTGGCCAGCATTTCTGTGGGTGCTGGGGATCTGAACGCTAGTCCTTATGGATTGCAGGACAAGCAGTTGACCTGCTAAACCATCTCCAAGGAGCCTTGTTATCTGAACAGGTCTTGCTTTGTAGCCTAGGGTGACCTCAACTTAAACTCATGCCTCGCCTCGTGCCTCAGCTCCCAATTCCTAGAATTACAAGTACGAGCCTCTATGCCCAACAAGAGGTTTGTTTGTTTGTTTTAATATGTAAATTGTCATAAAATATTGCCATGTTTTCTGATTTCTCCTTCAGGAGTTGGTAAAGTGCTGAAGAAGATCAACAAGGCCATTGTCTCCAAGAAGAATAAAGACATTGTGACTGTAGCCAATGCCGTGTTCGTCAAGAATGGCTTTAAAATGGAAGCGCCCTTTGCAGCAAGGAACAAAGAGGTGTTTCAGTGCGAAGTGCAGAATGTGAACTTCCAGGACCCCGTCTCTGCCTGTGATTCCATCAATTTTTGGGTTAAAAATGAAACCAGGGGTGAGTGGCTCTCCTATTTCATGTGGGTTCACATTTTGTGAATGAAAGGGTGAGACGCAGAGGTTGTGGCTGTAGTCCTCAAGACCAGCGGACCTCAGGAACCAGCTGGACCTAGGCAGGCTTTTACCATGGGCCAGGTCTCAGTCTGCCTGCCTTCCCCACTTCACAATTGCTGTTCACTCTCTAGGGGTTTTCTCCTGCAGGACGGACAGTGTATAAGAACACAGCCCTCAGCCTCTTTCCTTTGCCTGCCATACCCTGCCTCCAGAGCTGTTACCCATGGGTTCTTGTCTGTTCAACAGGTTTCACAACTTGTATCCCCTGTTTTTGCACCCAGTGTTCCCTTGACCTGGAACAGCCTTCTTTTTTTTTTTTTTATGTTTTTTTTTATGTTGTTTTTTTTTTTTAAGATTTTTTTTATTTGTCATGTATAGAGTGTTCTGCCTGCATGTATGCCTGCACACCAGAAGAGGGTACCAGATCTCATTATAGATGGTTGTGAGCCACCATGTGGGTGCTGGGAATTGAACTCAGGACCTCTGGAAGAGCAGGAAGCGCTCTTAATCTCTGAGCCATCTCTCCAGCCCCTGGAACAGCCTTCTTAGGCTTGGGCATTATTTCCTTGTGACCCCGGCCTTGTTTGCGATGGCTAAGCTGTAGGTGCCTCACTGGCTTTGTTAGGCCCGTGGTTACGTTGTTTTGAACCCCTCCATTTTCAATATCGCAAAATGACTACTTGTTTTTATGTCTCTTCTCATTAAATGGAGTTTTCCAGGATTTGGTGTTTCAAATCTGCTGACTTATTGGCCGGAAGTCTCAGGGACATCAAGCTGGAGCTTAGGGCCTATCACAACAAAACAAAGCTGTTCTGGCTTCGTTTCTGTTGCTGTGATAAAATATCCTGATAGAAAGCAGCTTAGGGAAGAAAGGATTTATTTTAGCTCACAATTCCAGATCACAGATCATCATTGCATGGATGGTGGGGCCAACATTTAAAGTAGCTAGTCATATCCCGGCCACTCTCTTGAGCAAAGAGAAATAAATGCACGCATGCTCAGTACTCAGCTCCCGCAGTCTGGAGCCATAAAACCAGGAAATGGCGCTGTTCTTTCACACTGGGTCCTCCTGCATCAATTAAAGCTGTCAAGACGGTCCTTTCTTGATTCATTCTTCCCAGATGATTCTATGATTCTATGTTGTGTTCAGCTGTCAGTTAAACTCACAGATGGTGAGAGAGGAAATGTGCTCTCGGAGTTAGAGTCATAAAAGAGTCAGAGACTCAGTAGGGTAAACTCTTGTCTTTGGGGAACAAACGTCTCTGAAGCTAGTTGCTGGAGCACCTGAACTAGCGTTACCCAAGGGCATGTTTAGAGTAGAGTTCCCTGGGCTCTGACTTCCTGGGGAAGAATCTCTGAGGGAGGGGCAGGGTGTTATGTTGTTGTGTAGGCAGTTCAACTGGCCTGCCCTCAGGGGCCTTTAGGGTCCTATGATATCATCTGGGCCAGGTACTTCAGGTATAACCAGTCTGGTCACTGCGACTCTGACTCTCTCTCTCTCTCTCTCACTCTCTCTCTCTCTCTCTCTCAGTCTGTCTCTCTCCTGTCTGCTCTCTCACTCACTCGCTATCTGTCTGTCTCTGCTCTCTCCTTTTTCTCTGTGGGGCATCCCTTCCCCCCCACCATGTCTCTCTCTCACTGTCTGTCTGTCTCTCTCCTCTCTGCGCTCTCCCCTTTCTCTGTCAGGGCGCCCTCTTCCCCCACATGTCTATCTGTCTGTCTCTCTCTCTCTCTCTCTCTCTCTCTCTCTCTCTCTCTCCATCCTCATTCAATAAACTGTTTAATATCATAACTGTTGCATATACGTGGCATCATTTTTTTAAAAAAATACCAACACAAGGTACCTCTAGTTGGGCTTGATCACCCATCATCCTACTTACATGTGTGTAACTGACCATCTCAGAGGAGCTAATGGAGAGTGGGAAGAAAGATGTGCAGGAAGTGGAGGAGAAGCAAAGACTTTCTCAACTGTTCTGCAACTGGAGTGTACTCCAAAACCCACGCTGCTGTCAGAAGAGCGATAGCATATGTGCCCAGGGCTGGTTTTGGGCTGCTGGATCCTGCACTTCTGGTGGCAGCAGCTGGCAACAGATACACACAGGAATGGCTCTTGGTCCTGATGCTAGCTATGTGACAACATGTCTTTGTATCCCATGGCCTTCTTTACTTGTGAAAAGATAATGTTGCATCCTATGGGTGTACCATCTGACGGGGCCCCTGACCACCTGTTCTGGGAACCTCAAGCAGGGTTTTTCATCTCTATCAAAGCCAGATCCCTATAGTAGTTTGTTCATTGTTTATTGGCAGTACTCTGATGGAAAACAGGCTTTGCACCAGGCTAAACAAATGCTCAACCAATATGTGATGTCCTTAGCCTTTGACTCCCTCCTAGCTTGAAATGAATTTCATAGATTTTATATACATGTATACACACATGTATATATGTGAATATATATATATATTCACATTACACACATAAACAAATTTTTTGTTAACAAATTAAAAAGTAATATAAGGGAAAACAAAATTTATAGTTGTGGTTAAATAGCTATACATTAGGGTTCAAGTTCACATGAATGCATGATACATATTTTTTATTTTGCTATTTTTGCCGAGTTCTCAGGGTAAGTGTGAACTGGCAATAATGGACTAAGTCAGGTTATGTTATACCATGACACAAGAAACACAAGTTGTCACCATTGCTGAAGCAATTTTTAAAGAATTAGGCAAAGCAAGAGACTTTATGTATCTCACAGTTATAATAAGCCCAAACAGGCTGTTTCCCGGACTTTTCTGCTTTAATAACAAACAGACCGATCTTTCACTTCTTGTCATTAGCAATTATCATGACATAATTGAGAATCGGTGAACCACACAGGGCTCAGCGAAGACAGTGGCTCCCGGCTCTTAGCTACCACTGTCATCATTACCTGATGCAATTTTTTAAAATAATGGTGTAAAATTCTTGGTAGATTTCCGAACTTGTCTCATAGCAAACAAAAATGGAAATAGTTAGAGGTGGGAGCTGGAAAGATGGCTCAGCTCTCCACTTGCAGAGGGCCAGAGTTCAGCAACCATGTTGGGCGGCTCACAATTGCCTGTGACTTCAGGTCCAGGGCAATCCAACAGCCACAGGCTACCACAGGTATCTACATGCATATGCACGTTCCTGTACAGACACATAAACGTGTAGACGTAATTTAAAATAGTAAAAGTCCGTCTTTTCTCTGAGTGAGGCGTTCCTCGTTACTCAGGGCTGTTTGGAACAGCACAAAACATGTGGCATGCCTGGCCACTCAAAACACTCCCACAGAGCCCCAGACAAACAACCTCTGTCTTCAAATTGCCCAGCTCATCTGAGAAGGTGAGCTTTCTGCAGAGAGAGAGAGAGAGAGAGCTAGCACCAGGGTCCTCTGCTCACTCTGTGACAGGTCTGATATGGGTGTCTGTGCAGCCTCGGCTTCTCCCTGCCACAAAGGCTCCTCTCATCCAGCCATCACAGACCTTCTCCCCACTCCACCATGCGAACAGCAGTCTGGAATGCTTCCCATCCTGGTTCCATACATAGCCCCTGTACGCGTCTGTGCTGCAGGCTCTGCTCCGTTCATTCTCAACCGATGTTCTGTTTCGCCATTTACGAATCAGCGGTATAACCTTGGCAAGGTGTCTTCACACCCCGTGTCCCCTCAACCCCATGCCCCAGCTCCTGATTTTGTGGCCGTTGATATATTAGTTATAAGTGCCAGGAGGAAAGTTCCGTGACGGCTTTTTTGAGTGAGACATAGGAAGCATTGAGCATAGGGTCTGGCCCCCTCACAAAGCGTGAGCTGTTTTCACAGTGGCTGGCTCAGTGGTTCTCAACCTTCCTGATGCTGTGACCTCTTAATATACAGCTCCTCATGCTGTGGTGACCCCCAACCATAAAATTATTTTGTTTGCTACCTCATAACTGTAATTTTGCTACTGTTACGAATCATAGTGTTTTCCGATGGTCGTAGGTGATCCCTGTGAATGGGTAGTTTCACCCCCGTGGGGTCTGGGAAGTCCTGCTTGCTGGAGGCCCTATCTGTCAGTTCAGATGTAACTTGTATTTGTTGCCACAGACTTCAGTGCTTTCACTGCAGGGAGTCTGTTAAAATCGAAGCTTTATGCTTTTCCAAATCCTTTTGGCATCTAGTTGTGATACTGAGGTCTTTGAGGGAGAAATTTGTTTACTTATTAAGGAGCAGACCTGGTGCATGCTGAGTAGATGGATGGAGGATAATCAATATACATTTATGGCAACACCAACAAGTCTCTCATGTGCCCTCTTACCTCTACCCTATTTCTTGCTGCTTTTTCTTTGTCGTTTCTCTTTTTATTTCATCTTTCATCACCTTGCAAGTGGTGATGTAAGGCAATATATTTCTGTGTTTGTTTTTTACTTTTTCTCAAGACAAGGTATTATGTACCCTAGGGTGGTATTGAACTTGTTATCTAGCAGAGGCTTGCCTTGAACTCCTGATTTCTTTTGCCTCCAATTCCTGAGAGTGCCTGGGTTACAGGTTTGTACTGTGATACCCAACACCCAGCCCTGAATCACTACTTATCTCTGTAAAATGGGCTGAGGTTTCTTCTGCCTCTTGAGCCCCTGACTACATGTGTTAGGAGAAAAAGAAGTACAGTTTGGGGGGGGGGGGTACAGACATATTCTAACTGGCTAGAATAAATACCATCATGATGACTGGTGACACTAGCCCTCAGGTTCTGTGGAAAGTGAGGGGCAAGATGGAGAGGAAGAGGAGGGGCAAGGGGCATGGGTTAGAAAAGAGAGGGATGGATTCAGTTGTGTAGTGTTCTCTGCATGGGGCAGAAACAGCACCCTAAGTCCTGAGTGTTAGCTCCAAGGAGTGCTGGTGGAGGAGCCTTTTTGCAGAATCCAGCCTTGTACTGAACTGAATGAATGATGGCTATTTATAGCGTGTAGATTTGTTCCAGGACCAGGCTTAGGTGGCTTTGATGCCCTCTTGTGGAAGAGTACTGAAGACACTACATGTCGGGTACCCAAAACTTCCCCTGTGCTGATTACCAGCTTCAGAGGTTTTCAGAGTATTAGGTAAGGAACCCTTTTTAAACACACACACACACACACACACACACACACACACACCTTTAAACCATCCAAGACCAAACACAAAGGACCCTGAGCTTCATGCACAGATGGCTTTTGGAGGATCCCTCCAATACTCTGAAGTGAGAAGAGCCTATTTGTTCCTTCACTACTGATGTGAATGAGATGGAGCATCCTGGCATTCCAGCAAGGGAACACTGCCTTCAAAGCAATTTCCTGTAGGCTAACTCCATTTCTTCTCATCTCTGTGTTCTTGGAGCCTAGCTTGGTGCCTGGGTCTTAAATGAGGACATGCTATTCAGTCCCCGATCTTGTTAGAGTCAGTAGGAGGCTTACGATGCCCAGGGATTGATTCCAAGTGTTTCTCAAGCCTTAGAAGAAACGAAGTTTAGCTCTGACATTTCACAAGCTGGAGTGTGCACTTTGATGGAGACTGCATGAACCTAGTGGTGTAAAAACAGACAAAAGCAAAAACTGCTCATCTCGTGAGCACCAAGGACCCGCAGCAGCAGCAGCCACATGACAGTGTCAGTTAAAAAAAAAAAAAATCTAAGACAGCTTTTAATTAAATATAGCTTATTTTAGATGTATAAAAGTTTTTTAAAACAAGGGGTTTACATGATCATTGGTAGGGTGTTTGCTTCCAGTGCCATACAAAGTGGATGTGGTGCCACACACTGAAATCCCACCACTTAGGAGGTGGAGGCAGGAGAGTCAAAAGATAGGCAGTCTCAGCTACGTAGGGAGTTTGAGGCTAGACTGAAGCTACAGGAGTCCAGATGTCTGATTTAAGTTTGTTTGTTTATTTGTGTTTTTTTTTGCATTCGATGAAAACATTAATCTATTTTAGTTTTTTACATTTATTATAATTATAAAACTGAAGTACTTTTTTTAAAATTTAATTTTTTTAAAAAAATTATTCACTTTATATCCTGGTCATAACTCCCTCCCATCTCCCCTCCCAGTCCCACTCTCCCTCCTTGTTTCCTTATCACCTTCTCCTAGTTTTCAGAAAGAGGGAGCCCTCCTGCCCTACCAACTGACCCCAGCCTATCAAGCATCGTCAGGACTGCCTGCATTCTCTTCTTTTGTAGCCTGGCAAGGCCACCCTGCCAGAGGGGAAAGTAATCAAAGAGCAGGGAACAGAGTCTATGTCAGAGACAGCTCGTGTTCCCCTTACTAGGGTACGCACATGACTAGGGTACGCACATGGAGAGTGAGCTGCTTATCTGAGCTGCTACATCTGAGAAGGGGGCCTAGGTCCTCCCCAAGCGTGGACCTTGGTTGGTGCATCAGTCTCCACTGAACCCCCCGCCCCAGGCCCAGATTTGTTGGCTCTGTTGGTCTCCTTATGGAGCTCCCTCTGGGTCCTTCTCTCTCCCCCTTCTTCTATAAGACTCCCTGCACTCTGCCCAAAGTTGGGCTATGAGTCTCAGCATCTGCTTCAATCCCCTGCTGGGTGGAGTCTTTCAGAGGCCCTCTGTGGTAGGCTCCTGTCCTGTTCCTTCTTTGCAACACTGCCAGTGTCTGTTCTGTTTGCCCTTCTGAATGATTTAAGTCTCTTTAAAAAAAAATTTTTTTTTTCTCCATGACTCTGCAGCTAGCAGCCATTTGCCTTCAATGCATTTCCATTGTTGATATTTTCCCGTGTTCTTCACAGGCATGATTGACAACCTGCTTTCCCCGAATCTGATCGATAGTGCCCTTACCAGACTGGTCCTCATCAATGCGGTGTATTTCAAGGGTTTGTGGAAATCCCGTTTTCAACCCGAGAGCACGAAGAAACGGACATTCGTGGCAGGTGATGGGAAGCCCTACCAAGTGCCCATGCTGGCCCAGCTCTCTGTGTTCCGCTCTGGTGAGTGTGCACTGGGTGAAGTCTGTTCTAGAACGTGCTAGTAGCAGAAAGGCAAGACTCTCAAGTGTTCTCTCCTCAAAAGCAGATCTATGCTGGGGGAAAAATAAAAGCTGCTAGAGGTGACTCACGCCTGGAATGCCAGGATGCCAGAGCATGGGAGGCTTCTAGGAGGCAAGAGTTCTTAAAGCATGTGATAAGTCTTTGTACCATTCAAAAAAAGAAAGAAAGGAAAGAAAAAATTATTAACATGTGACTTACATAGGATTCTGGGATAAAAATGTAACATGAAAAGATAATTAACAAAAACCAATACAAAATGGACATTAAACATATGAAGGGACCTGTCAAGTTACCATTGGCAAACTTACATTACTAAGTAAAAATTATTTCTTTTTCACTTCTCATGTTATCAGAAATTAGGAAGGCTAATAAAACCCACTTATGGCCACTCATGGGATGGTCATGCCCCTTGAGCAGTGCTGGTGGGGTGGACCTGTTATCTGAAGGACTCTGTCTACGTCATTATCCCAGCAGCCCCACTCCAGAGAACTTACTTTGCGAAGATAATCACACACTGGCAAATCAACACAAGCCCGACACAAAGCTACTTTCAGAGCCCTTGGTTCTGCATCTTCAGATTTAAGCTACCTCAGATGGAAAAATACTAAAAAGAGAAAAGTTTGCTGCAAATCAAACATACAGATATTTTTTCTTGTCATTGTCCCTAAACAGTTGAACAAAGCAGCAGTTCACATTGCATTGAGTATTTTAAGTAACAGATGGTTTAAAATATTCAGTAGAATTCATATAGGCTACATGGAAAGACTACATTGAATATGAGGGGGTTTTGGCATGTCAAACACTGTAGACCTTGAAACCTCTCTATGCTCTGGAACACAGGTGATAATTAGATTTAGATCAACATAAATAGAAAGATTATGTGGAGTGTGTCTGATTTCCAAAGGCAGGTTATAAAACAGTAGATGCTGATGAACAATGGTTACCCAAATACTTTCTGTCCATTTGTCTATACAGATATGTCTTGGAAAATGTTCAGTAAATGTTCTCAGTGGTAGGACTTCACATTGATTTTTCCTTACTTAAAATTGAAATTTCCTGTGTATGGATGTATGCATGTCAGTATGGTGTGTGTGTGAACAGGTGTGCCTACCTGTGGATGGCAGAGGAGGACAGCAAGGGCTGCTCTGTCACATTCCACTTCATTCTTTTGAAACAAGATCTCTCACTGAGCCTGGAGCTAATGGTCGAAAAACTCCAACAAACTTCCTGTCTCCCAGTTTTTATATGGTTGCTGGGGATTGGAACTTAGGTCCTCATGTTCTCCTCCCCTCGCTCCAGCCCCTGAATTTTCTTTTTAGTGAGCACGTATTATCAACCTTAAAGCCAGAGTGAAGAGTCAGTCTCACATATATAGCATTGTTTCCTCGGCGCAGATAACTATGACTGTTGTTAACATTTCACTTCATCAGCGCTTTCTTGATCCACCTTAAATCTCTTTTTCCTGTCTGTATGTCAGGCTTCAAGTCTCCAGGGAGCTGGAGACTTTTATTTCTTTTTAAATTCTGTGTATGCCGGTGTGCAGGTGCCCACAGAGGCCGGAAGAGGGCATCAGATACCCTGGAGCTGGAATGTCTGAGCTCCCATCCTCTCCTAGGACAGGAGACACTCTGAACCACTGAGCCATCTCTCCAGCCCCTAAATACCCCCTTTTCAGATTCAGTCACCTGTTTAGATGTGATCCTCTAGACAGGAGACCCTGTTGTAGTTCAGTCATGGCACCTGAATGTCCCATCAGAACACTTTTTCATCTTGTCAGTCACCAGTCTTCTAGGAGCAAATTTTCCAAATTTACTATTCGATAAATATTCACTGAGAAGTAGTGTGTACTTAGAACACCACAGGGAGTCCTTGCAAGTGCCTGAGCATGGTAAATAGCTCCTTTCGCCTGAGAGTCATTCCAGTCCCACTGACCTCCCCCTCCTGGGCTGTGCTGCTCGGGAACACCCTTGAGATGCTGGCAGCACCTCCAAAGCGTATTCAGACAGAAATGTTTTAGTTTAGATGGATCTTTATACAGTCTGCATTCTATTAGAAACAAAACAGAAGGTTAAGATGCAAAGATTCTTTAGATACCCCTCTGGAAGACTCAGACATGCAAGGTTTTATAGGCGTATCGTAGGCTCTTCCTGAGAATATAGTGTGTCCTCAGAGAGAAACACCTGAGGGCCTGTTCTGAGTTCAGAACTGGTTTGTCCAAGAACATACATGTGTGCTTTACCTCAGGTGCCTACTTTTTGTGCATTTTTTGTGGTGCTGAGGATCAAACCCAGGGCCTTGGGCAGATTTGACAAACAGTCTACTATTGTACTGCATCCTTGATATAAATGCATTTTTTATTAGTGAGGTTAGAGGGGGGGGAGACAAGACAGACAGACACACACACACACACACACACACACACAGACACACACACACACAGACTGACAGACTATGAGAATCGCGTAAAGAATGAAAGAAGGCTGGGAGAACATCCCCCTCTGCCTTCCCTAATTCACTCTCTCCTTTCCCACCTCCTTCACCCTGTCTGCAACGGGCGGGCGGTGCCTTCTTATGGAGGCCCCTTGCTCCCTGGCTTTCTAAGGGAGTGGCCAGTGAAGAAACAGCAGGTGAGGGAGGAGAGAAGGACTGGGACATTAATCCCTCCCCCGTCTCTGACAGTGACACCACAGCTGCAGCTTTCTTACCCCTACAGAGTCTCAGCTCCTCCCAGTGTGTGATCATGTGATCAGGTGCACTTTCTCTCCAGGTCACCCTACCCCCTAAGGCTGGGGATGGTGACCACTGTTCACATCCTATCTGTACCAGTTTCCCTGTGTTCCTCCCATGCTTTCTATGCCTTCATTAAGCTCTGCTTCGATGACCAGCCTGATGGCACGTCTGCTTCGTGCGCACTCTGACTGCTGTGCTGAGCTCAGGACAGAGCATGTAAGTGTTCCTCGTTCCTCTATCCCATTTCCTTACAAGTCAGTACAGCCAGCAGCATGCACGCATCCTTCTCATCCTCCTTTCCGTGCCCGTCATCGGGTCTACCTGGAATCCCGCAGCCTGGCGTCTGGCTTCTTTCTAGATTATGTGGCATCTCTGGAATGTTATGTCATTGGCATCTCTGAGGAGACCCGCTTGGTCACATCAAAGCAAGATAGTGGAAAATAAAGAGGGAGAGAAATGCTTCTGACTTGTGCCTCCTAAAGAATAAGCCTGAAGCCAGGCATGGTGGTGCACAACTTTAATCCAGAACTCATGGAGGCAGACACAGGTGGATCTCTGTGAGTTCGAGGCCTGCCTGGTCTAGCCTTCAAGGCTAGACTTATTTATTTACTTATTTAGGAAGAGCTTTGAAGTGTTCTTTAGTAGAATAGTAAATTTGGAAAATTTGCTCCTAGACCTCAATTTGCACTTGAGGTCAGCCTGGAATCTACGGAATCTCAGGTTCACTGCAAAGCCAGCTGCCACATATAAAAGCAGAAAGAAAACACATTCCAGTAATCCGACTTCCTGGGATAAAAACCGCTATTAAGTGCTAGACATATAATTTTTGACCTATTCTATGAATATATAGAATATATTTGAAGCCTTTTGCATACATAGGATTACACTGCAATGTTTATTCCATAAACTGTTTTATTCATTATTCATATCAAGGAACATTTTTTTCATCAATTTGCTAGAATTTACAAGACCTTTTTTTAGCTACACGTTATTTCATAATATAAACTTACATAATATTTTCCGGCTAGTCGGTTACTTTTTTTTCCCTCTAATAAATAATCACTGAGTTTTCTTATGCATAAATTTGTGAAAGCTTTTATCACTATTCCTAGAGGAAATCTGCTTAAATAGGAATTGCTGATCAAAGTTGCTATAAATGTTCAGAGTAAATGTTGGAATTTATACTGTAGAGACTTTACCCTGGTGGGGGAGGGGCCCAACAGATAACCAGACTGCTGTGTGTATATGTGTGTACATACTCATATGTATGCAGGAGCATCTGTGTCCAAGGGTGTGTATGGAATCCAGAAGTCCCCGTTGGCAATAATCCTCAGTTACTCTCCACCTTATTTTTTGAGGCAGGGTCTTTCACTGAACCTGGTGCTCACTGATTCGTCTAGGATGGCTGGCCACTGAACCTCCAGGAACTCCCCCACCCCGCCCCCCGCCTCTGCTTCCGCAGAGTGCAAGTTTGCCACCATATCTGGATTTGTATATGGGTACTGGGAATTGAGCCTGGGGTCCCCATGCCTGTGTAGCATAGTCCACCTGTCTCTAGTTTCCTTTCTTCTCTGTGTCCAACTCCTATTTATTCAATACTATTCTTCCCCTTTGGCTGTCTACTTGGTTGTAGTTCCCAAGGCTACTTTTATTCTTGTCCTTGCCTGCCAGTTCTCCAGACACAGAAGTTTTATTGACTCACCCAGTTGTTTAGGCCTCCTTTCTTCCCCACCAGTTGTCTCCAAGCCTACTTTGGACTTTAGTCTGTAATATAGACAACCAAACTCAAGAGGATCTATTTGTTGTTTCCACACACATTTTTTTGGTTTCGATTCAAGTGGGATCAGGAAATCCTCTTTGACTGTTAGCTAAAGGTCATTACAAGGATGGCTGTCTATAACACTTTCCTGATAGTATTTAGAATATTCTCCTTGGTTTTACAGACCATAAAGCATTTGTAGCGTTTTGGTGAGTTTAGTGAGGTCCTTCCTTGTAGGACTTACCCCAGGAGGAATCAGATTATTACAAAGGCCTTTCCAGAATAAAAGCTCTCACTCTAAAAGGTCTCCAATCTTCACATTTTCTTTCATACTTGACTCTTGACTAATTATGTCATTCATCTAAGAGAAAAGGCTTCCTGCTTCCTGTGTTACACACTGCAGATAGCTTCCTCACAGAAGAGCACACAATGTACTTTGCAGGCGCTGAGTTTTAGGTGGCTTAAATAGGATATGACAGTTAAAAGGAAGACCTTTGGGACAACCAGAGGCCCCATGCCCTGACCCCAGCTCCCGAATGTCCTTTCCTGTGTGACTTGTCCTAATGGGCAGGTGTCATACCCACTCCCTCAGGTGTGGTTTCTCATGTAACTCAGCTCTGTGTCTAAGCTCTGAGGAGAAACCAGTTGTTAAAGAAGTAAGGCAGCTGGGTATCACCCCGGCTTGTGGTCTGCGATCCCTGTATCTGGCTGAGACAGAAGGATCTTGCACTTGAGGTCAGCCTGGAATCTACGGCAAGATCTTGCTTCAAAAGTAGGTTGGGCGGTTACAAAGCTGCCCCCATCAGTATGAACGTTTGTGCCGTCTGCCAACTTGCGCTGAGTATTAGGTATGTATACTGTCTCGCAGGGTTTTACTGAAGTCATTGACTGAGTGAGCTATTCGGATTGGCTTTGAATCCAGGTTCTAGGACTCCAGCCTGTGTTCTCAAACCTCACATTTGCCCTGAGTAAAAGGCTGTAGGGGGTGGGGTGGTGGCAGTAAGGAAGTCCCTGGGAGGAAAGAGAGAACAGAAGTGTCCATCTGTCTCCCGACTTCTCAAGCTGCCAAGTACAGCGTGGGTATGGACAGATGCAGCCTGCCTACCGGCCATGATTACCCAGTCCTGGGGTCCTGTGCACAGGTGGAAAGAGGTCAGACCTCCAGCAGATGTGTGACTACACAGAATGGTTAAGGCGTTCTGGTTCTACTGGTTGATAGTGGTGTATCCAGTCAAGGTTGGGTTAACCTGCAAGCCTGCCTACCTCCCCACTTCCCACACACTCCAGCTCATATTTCTCATCATTCATAGCTTCAGCCCTCTTTAGCTGAATTATACCCACCTCTGTAGCAATTAATCTCTCCAGGTCTTTGTTTTCGGCCCCAGAGCAGTAATTTAGTAACCGTTTCCTGCATTTCACAGTTTCTAAAAATTAGCCCCATTAGAGCTAGAGACTTCATGTTTTCTTCAAGGATTAAAGGGTTCATTAGGAAGTGATTTTTTTTTTTCTCACTTTCTCGTTGATTTTTCAGTTTCTACTGAGACCGTTTTATTACTCGGGCTAAAAATAAAGAATATTAACTTTGATTCATGGGTAGTCCCAACCTAGAATCCAGGCTGCTGTGAGCTTATAGCAATTCCAAGCTGAGTTGGACCACACTGGATTCCTAGGCTATATCCTGCCATATCCGCTGCAATTTCTATGGTATCAGGTATCCTAGCACCTTTAACTGTTTATATTTTATGGATGAAAGTGCTTGTGACAGAACAAAGCTTGCTCTCTTTCTGTCTTTTTTTTTTTCGTTGACCTCCTGTCCTCCTTCTCTGGAGCTGTGGCCTGTTCAACCCCGTGGGGTTGCATGCCCTTAAATCCCAGCACTTGGGAGGCAGAGTCAAGTGGATCTCTGTGAGTTCGAGGCCAGCTGGGTCTACAGCATGAGTTCCAGGAAAGCCAGGGCTCCACAGAGAAACCCTGTCTAGAAAACAAACAAACAAAGGCCATCCACCAAGAAAGATCCAGTGAAAACCACAGGAGCTTTTTTCCTCTTTTTTCTTATGTTGTGCTTCATGTAGAGGAGGAAGCAGAGGACCCTATAGGTATCCTCCTTGCTACTGCATAGGTTATATTTTTTTTCTCATTTTGTCATCCCCACAACATTGCAAGGTCCATACTTTAATATGCTGATATTTCCATGTATATGGAGGAATGGCACAGGGATGCCGTGACCCCTCATCAGACTCAGGGTTTCTCTTTAAAGGTTTGGTGTTCAACCAACACTTTCAAAACCCCCATCAATTTAAAAATGCAAGCAGAGACCTTTTCACTGCTCAGTTATGCTGTGCAGTTGCTGCCTTAATCCATTGTCTGTTGCTGTATTAGTTACTTTTCTTGTTGTTCTTTAAAAAAAAAAAAAAAAAAAACAACAAAAAAAAAAAAAAAAACACCTGACAAAGGCAGCTGAAGATAGGAAGGGCTTATTTCAGCTCACGGATTAAGGGTATAGTCCATTATAGTGGGACATTAACAGTGGCAGGAGCATGAGGCAGCCGGTCATACTGCGTTTGCACTTGGGAAACAGAGGTGAAATCTGATGAAGTCAGCTAGCTTGCTCCTTTTTTATTTTAAAATCAGTAACTATGTGAAATGATGGATGTGCTAACTGGCTTCACTACAGAAATGATTTTGCTGTGTCTTGCCTATGCCATTGTATTGCACACCTTAAACACAATATAACATATTTTCTAAAACGAGGTAACATGTAAAAAAATTTTAAAAAACACCTCAAAAAGTACCTTTAATTTATTCTTTTACCCACATAAAGGTTAACTTCTTCTAAAGCACTGCTGAGTACCTAATGATCTACTTACATTCTATTCAGCAGAGTTAAAGTGAGTCTCCCGATGCCCAGAGGCATTCTGTCTAGACTGGAGACTGAGAATTCAGCCCCAGGGAAGAAAGAAGTCATTGTCCTTATCTTCGTCCTTCTGAGGAAGCTATTTGTAGTAAAGGGAGCATTACAGGCTGAATTACTGTCCCCCCTTTCCCGTGGCTTCCCTGGTGACCGCCAGCTACTTGTGCCCCATCGTCAGGAATACACTAAGTCTGCCTCTGATTTCTTTAGGGTCTACCAGCACCCCGAATGGCTTATGGTACAACTTCATTGAGCTGCCCTACCATGGCGAAAGCATCAGCATGCTGATCGCCCTGCCAACGGAGAGCTCCACCCCACTGTCTGCCATCATCCCCCACATCAGCACCAAGACCATTGATAGCTGGATGAACACCATGGTGCCCAAGAGGATGCAGCTGGTCCTGCCCAAGTAAGTGCACCTTTTCTTAAAAGAAAGGATGCACTGCTCAAGGGATATCAGTCAGACTGCATAGTAAAAACAAGGCACTAGGATGGTTTCCTAGGAAGTGCGTTTTGGAGAAAACGAGGCAGTGTTTCCTGAAAGCCTTCTCTGAGACCCTGCAGTGCCTGTTTGTGTGGGATGATCTTAAATGCATCCAAACACACTCTTATAAAAAGTTGTTAGGCTTAGAAGTCAGGCTACAGTTCAGAGTGGTGAAGGGGTCTTTTGTATCAGAGTGTAATCCCAATACTCAGGGAGGCAGAGACAGGTGGATCTCTGTGAGTTCGAAGCCAGCCAAAACAGCCAAGTCTACATAAAGAAACCCCATCTCGGGAAAAAAAAAAAAATCTATTTGTAAATATGTACTATTTTTGTCACATTTGAGTCATTTGCAGCATTTTGATCCTCTCCTATATTTTCTGTTTTCATGTAGGTTCACAGCTGTGGCACAAACCGATTTGAAGGAGCCACTGAAAGCCCTTGGCATTACTGAGATGTTTGAGCCATCAAAGGCAAATTTTGCAAAAATAACAAGTATGTCGAGTTTAAAACTTCAACTTCAAGAAAATGTTCCAGGTCTTTATTTGCTCAAAAAGAAAAGTCAAAATCAGGAGTATGTTGCCCTAAACCTATGCAAAGTTTAGCTCAATGTATGGCCGAAGGATGCTGTTGATTGCGAACATGTCAATCAATCAGCTTTCATCATTTGCTCCCACATTTCATATGAGGCCCGAGAGACTGCAAGGGAAATGACTTCCTACGTGATTGCCTGTTACCCAAAAACTTGTGTTTTGTTTTTTTTTTTGTTTTTTTTTTTCCCTTCCTCCATCCTGGGACTTGAACTCACATCTGTGTGCTTGCTAGACAAGTGCTCTACTGCCAAGCAACACTTGTGATCACAGGGTTTGCTCTTAGTTAGGACTTAGTTGCTCTTTATTTTCAAATACAAATTTTCTCTTAGGTTTGAAAAAGAAAAGTGAAGATTTTTGAATTCTCAAACTTTAGCTTACTTCTACGGGGCAACTGTGGGCTTGCCTTGTATCCAGAAATGTATTTTGCCATGTCTGAAATAACTACTTCAATACGTCTGAATAAGACTGTCCTTCACCCATGAGTAAGCATGACTAAGACATGCTTAGTATCATGTCCCTGTATTTGCCATCTGATGCAACTCTTCCTGGAGTTGTTTGAATGGGTCAGATCTCTGGCTTCTACATTTAGAACACAATTTCCAATGAAAAGCTATAGCGTGGATACGCAAAGTACTCCAGTGTGTATTTTATCCAGGGGTAGAGAATTTGTTTCGTTACCAGCTCCAGTTGCATGCTCAAGAATATCTGAGTATCTCCTATGGGCTAGGCACCTTCTACATTATCGTGACCCCTCCCCCCCACATACACATGCATACACCTTCACTGGAACCGTAGCTCCTCTGATCTCCCCGTTCCCCTTTCCTTCCTGGTCCCCAGCATGACCTGTTAGAAATGGATATCGTGGTTCAGATCCAGACCTCCTGAATCACACCTTTATTTTAATGGGATCCTTGGCCTCCTAAAGTTTGAGAAAGATGCACTTCTTGTTCAGAATCAGCTACTATAGTCTGAATGCTAAACAGGAGGCACAGGGGCCCTGAATCTCTGCAAGCTATTCTCTTTTACCTCGAGAGTGACCCGAGCCGTATTAGCATGCACCTGGTCACAACTAGCCATATTAGAGCTGGGTATTTGCACAGACAGGGCAAAATCAGGTGACCCCCAAAAGCTCTCTCGATCTCTTCATCCGGACCTGTGTCCCATGCTGACTAGAGCTGGTGTACTCTTAGACAGTGCCTTCCACTGAGAATTGTCTGGTTTTTTTTGGACTCTGATGAGAAGGGGAATGAGTTCACTGGAGGATCCCCAAGCTACAGCTGCAGTTCTGTGCCTTGCCCTTCCCAGCAGTTTCTCTCTCCTTCTGCTGTGCTGGCGGATGAGTGGCTGGGGCTATGAAAGCCAGCGCTTCCCTGTGCCCAGCTAACCATGTAACTACGGGCAGATTTCTTATCCTTGTGAGCAGCAGTTTTCCCACCTGAGATCCTCTCTAGGGTGGACAGTCTAAAATTGACAATATTATTGTCTTTTTTCTTCTGGAAAAAAAATGACATCTTTACAAATTTCTGTTCTTTTCATTTTTGGAATAAAATTAATAGTGGTCTGAATTGAAGGAGTAGAGGTTCTAACACATTTGGGCTCTGAGAATCCCTCCCAGAAGTAACAACTGCAGATCATTTGGCAGAAATTGAAATCTACTGCAAGTGACAGCCACCCGCAGCCTTCAATCGGCAGGACTACCAGGGGTTATGTCTGACCCTTTATATAAACTAGAATTTGCCATGGCTTTGAGGTCACTTCCAACACTGTAGATGGCATGCCCGTCGAAGAAGTGCTAATTTTGTGTTTTCTGGGAACAGGGTCAGAAAGCCTTCACGTCTCTCACATCTTGCAAAAAGCAAAAATTGAAGTCAGTGAAGACGGGACCAAAGCTTCAGCAGCAACAAGTAAGTGGTGGGCCGCGTGGCAAGACCACTTCCAGTAGGAAAGCAGACACACTCCAGTTCACTCATCATCTTAGCGTAATCCTAGGGAGTCTTGTTCCTCACTGGGGAGGTGGGAAGGGAGGAATGACCCTTGGGATACAACAATGAATATAGGTAGATGAAGTATTTCATGATGGTGATGACGCAGAAAGTCGGGTATGACCCTTGGGAGCAGTGAGTATGGGTAAATGAAGTATTTCATGATGATAAGGATGATGATGATGATTGATTGATTGATGGTGATGATTGATGATGATGATGACAACAATGATAATGATGACAACAATGTTAATAACAGAGGTATAGCTCAGTAGGAAAGTACTTGTCTAGCAGGCACAAGGCCTTGTGTTTGAACACTAATACCGAGAAAGGAAAACTCATGTTAGTGTAGGAATTTCATATAGGAAGGGAGTCAGCATTCCCCACAGCCAGATAGCATGGATTTCAGCCTTGCGGGCCTCACCGTCTTCAGCATAACTCCTCAATTCTGCATATACAACAAGAAAGCAAGCACAGGTGTGCAACCGAGTGGGTATGACTCCTTCAGTCTTCCGACAAAGCTTTGTTTATCAAACCAGACTTCATCCAGGCATCTTTGTGTGCTAGTCACTGCTCTCAGGGGACAGAGCACATCTGGCTGATTTACCAGCAGTAAAGTCTCAACTATAGATTGAGACATGTCAGCAAATCCAGAAGCATAGCTCCTCGGGTCTCCCCAGCACAGGGTGAAGAGTCAGCATCATGGACAGGACTGCACCAGGATTGTTGTGCAGCCTTCCGTGATTGTTAGAACATCTGCAGCTGTCCTCTGGGCAGCTTACAAGGAAAAAGAGTTAAGTTTGTCCCCACCAGCACCGTCACGGCCATCAGTCATCCATACACAATGAGATAAGGAGATTGGGCTAGGACATTGTAAGCTCATAGAATAACTTTCACCGCACATCCTGCTCGTTGCTCAACTATTTCTAGTCATGAAACAAAGTTGTCATTTATTCTAGAGAATCAACACCTATAACCTCTCAAATAAATGTTTTTTTTTTTTTTCCTGTCCACTTGAAAATAGCACTTAAGATAAAGACCTAGAATACAAGGTTTGATAGTTTTTAAAATATTGTTTGTCCTCTTTGGGTGATTGCTATATGCTAAATTTGACCAAAGTGATTTGTCTGTTTTGCCAACTAGCAGTGTGTCCAGTCAGGGCCAGCAACGTGATCCGTAGAGGAGCCCTGTGTGAATGCAAATATATACTCCGTTGTTCTAAGTTGTACTAGGGATTTCAAAACCACTACGCAGGGCACTAAGCCAAGTCTGAGGCTCTCTGTCACCAACCTGTGACTGCGTAATTAGTCAGCATAGGCTCCCATGACAATGCCAGAGACTGGCAGGAGAACTTAAACAAGAGATGTTTATTTTCCTACAGTTCGTAAGGCCAGAAGTCCAGGGTCAGAGTGTCAATAGGCCTGGCTTCTCTCGAGGTCTTTGTGTGCTCATGAGGCTTGTGTGCGCATGGTTTTGTGACATCCCTGGTACTCTTTCCCATCTTAATAAAGATGTCAGTCCTATTGGGTAAGGCCTCACCTGTATGTTTTTTTTGTGTGTGTGTGTGTGTCCTTAACAGCCCCCCCCCCAAAAGGGCCTATCTCCAAGTGTAATCATATTAGGAGCTTAGTGCCCCAACATAGTTATTTCAGGGGTACCTAAGTTGATTTATACTGCCTGCTGTCTAATTATAATTCTGGATGAAGTGGTTTTCCCAGTATAACTTTCCAGTATTCCCTTTCTAAGAGCAAGCCTACGTCATTCATGTCTTTCAGAAGACTGAGGAAAGTGCTGAGGCATTGTACCAGACGCTGGGAGTTAAACCACTCCCTTCCCCTAGCTTTTCCATGGTCTTGTTAAAGGGGCCAGTCATTAGTCAAAGTAGGCAGATCTAAGACCTATGTGTCTAAAGAAGTTTTCTTTGAGGCTAGGGTGTAGTTCAGTGGCAAAGGACTTGTTTAGCTGTCCTGGGTTTTATCCCCAGCATTACAAGAATAACAAAAGGTTGTTTTCTAAGTCAGATATCTGCAGCTAATGAGTTGAGCAGCCGCATACTATAGCAGGTGCAGATGAGCAGCCCATGTTGCCGTGGCAAAGGGCATCTAAATGATATACCAAAAGGGAAGGCACAGAACCAACAGTTAAGTCTTGTGAGCTGGCCTCTGAGCTGTGGGAAGGGATGAGGGTAGGTTAAAGAGGTCCATAGGCTTCACCAGCACAGCAGATGGCGTGCATAAAAATAGCTTATAATAACAGCAAATATGCACTGTGTGCTCATTTGGTGGTAGTCTCTGTCCTGAGAGCTATAGTGTGTTTTATGTCATCCAATCCTCATAAATCTACGAGGACTAAGTTGTTTTATTGCCAAGATGGGGCTTCTACAGAATAAACAGGACAGTAACTGTGAAAAGCCTGGCCCAGTGTTCAATAAATGGTGATTGTTGAGACCACTATCGTGTGCCAATGTACAAAACAAAGCAACTGTAGCCTCAGACAGCAGCCTCTGGGAGTGCTGTCATTGGCTGGCCTGGTACTGAGTGGATAACACATCACTTCTTCTGTCCATAGCTGCAATCCTAATTGCAAGGTCATCGCCTCCATGGTTCATAGTAGACAGGCCTTTCCTGTTTTTCATCCGACATAATCCCACAGGTGAGTGGTTCTTCCATTTCATCGCTGGCTGTTCATGTTCAGAAAGGTGCCCTCCAGCCAGAATTGTACCCATCAGTGTGGCCCTCAATCCGTTTTCTTCACTGTTAACTATAGGAGACACTACGGATACTATAAGCACCCACTTTAAAGAGGAAGGAAAATCGAGTCTGTGTTATGGAGTTTGATGGGAGCTTTTAAATATTACCCCGATTGTAGTTGGGAGGGAGGTGGTAGTTTTTAACATATGAAAAGGTTCAGCATGCCCTTTGAAACTCTTAACATCTATTGATTTTTTTTTTATAGTTTTAAAAGTACCTTAAATTTTGCAACAGGTTTTATTTTTGCTATTATTTTAATCAGAAGGCATAGTTCCTTATTCTCTTACCTCTTGTTTTATACGTCCTCCTTAGTGTATCAGAGATGATCCGCCCAACACTTAAGCTTCTAGTCACTTGTGGCTATTTAACTGAAACTTTGTTAAAATGATATGTGATTAAAATTTCAACTCCTTAGTCACACTGTCCTCAACTCAGCTGCCACATTTGAGTAGTAGATACCATATTGATTGCCCAGTGAAGGTGGGGACAGTTTCTGCCTTTGGAGAGAGTTCTGCAGAATGGCACAGCTGAGCAAGAGGTTAACGATGGCTGCTTCCCTCCTCACCTCACAGCACCTTCCGTCTTGCACCATGAATTCATTTTATGAAGTCCAACATTATCTCTCTTTCTCCTCTAGGTGCTGTCTTGTTCCTGGGGCAGATAAACAAGCCCTGAAGAAGAGAGGAAAGAAACCCATGCAAAGCAAAGCAGACTTTGCTGTAAAGAAAGACCCCTTTCCCCACATCTTTCATAGTTCTGTTAAATATTTTTGTACACTGCTTTCTTTTTTGAAACTGGTTCATAGCAACAGTTCAGTGACGCAAGTGTTTCTGGTCAGGGCTGTGTCAGAAGAAAGGGCAGGAAGGCTGGGCTGCTGTACTGAAGGCTGAACAGGAGGGCTTCAAGATGTCTAAAAGATTTCTTTAAACTACTGATCAGTTACCTAGGTTAACAACCCTCTTGAGTATTTGCTGTCTGTCCAGTTCAGGATTTTTGTTTCATTCTCGTTTATACATGTGACTTTCCAGGAGAAGTTTAATCAGTGTGACAGGAGAAAAAAAATATGACCTTTTATAGTAGTTTTATGGGAAAAATATTATTTGCCTTTTTAATTCTTTTTCTCTCACTTCCACCCAAAGGCTTGAAGGTGATGAGGGGTGGAGCTAGCAAAAGCTGTAGCCTCTTCGTGTGTTGTTTTTGTTGTTGTTGCTATTGTTGTTTTATATAATGCATGTATTCACTAAAATAAAGTTTGAGAACTAACATCTTGCTGGACACAATTTGCTGTCAAGCCACGTTCCTGTCACTACTGGTCTGTACTCTTTGGATCGGCATTTTTGTATTTTGTATAAAGTAAAAAAAATAAATAAATAAAGTGTTACAAGTAGTAAAAATTTAAAAGAAAGCCATTTCTTTGTTTGAAAAAAAAAAAGTGACATCAAAAGAACCAGCCTTTTCTAAAGCCTTACCTCAACCTCTTAGGGTAAGCCTTTGTACTTAGGCAGCTTCAAAGCCCCTGAAAATTTTCTGTTCTTTTTCTTGCAACCTGACAAGCAATTGCTGTTTCTTGCCTCAGCGCTTCTTAGTTTACAGAGCTCTTCCAGCAGTGACTGTTATGGTAATCACAGCTCTAATCTCAGCTTCAGTTCACTTGAGCAGTAGCTAAGGATTCTCCACAGACTTTACTCTCCATAAAGTACAGAAAGAAATTTCTGGAGACTTGTGTATTTTGAAAATCCAAGCCACAGTGATCAGTTTGTCTCTGGTGACTGGCTAGAACGGTTGTTCTTGAACTGATAATTTTTGATTCTTGTAGGGGGATAATTTTTCACATAGGATTTAAACATGGCGTTTATGTTGCCATTTACGGGGCATTTTAAAATTAGTTTCTGGAAGATTTGTATCGCCTTACCATCAGAATAGTTGAAAACATTGGAACAGCAAGATGGCTCAACTGCCAAGCCTGATGACCTGAGTTCAATCTCCAGGACCCACCTGGGGGAAAGAGACTTGATTTCCACAGGTTGTTCCCTGACCTTCACACACACACACACACACACAAGTGCACATGCATGCACCGATTAACAAGGGTCATTTTTTTTTAAATTAAGATCATTTAAGCACTTCTTGTCAAAACCTAAGAATTTGTTATTTTTTAAACCCAGAAGCTTCACCCTTTGTGCTACATCAAAAATGTCAATATTCAGCACTATCTGACCTTGTCGGTTACTGTAACTGTTGCTTGTAAAGTGGACTAAACCCTGTTGTTTGCAACTACTGAATTATGTGTACTCACAACCACAGAGGAGAGGAGAGGCCAAAGCCTGTTTTGAATGGTTCCCTCACACCACATACATTCTAGCAAACATGCCCCTTGTTAGTAATGCCTATTAGAGCCAGTCTTGGTGGGTTTTATTCTGCCCTAAGTCAGGAATGTATTGTGATTTACTTACAACTACAGTGCCAGTGGCTGTGAAGTGAGAATTAGTTACCTGACTTCAGCCACGTGCCATTAATTGCTGAACTGTTTGGAGCTTCTGGGGGAAAGAACGAATGTGATGCCGGGAGAGACACATGAGAGGGAGTTTATGTGCAGGAATTGTCTCCTATGATGATGGAGGCCAGGACTCCTGCAAAGCACCACCATCTGTAAGCTGGGAAACCAAACAGAAAAGCAACACAGCTCAGTCTGAATCCTGAGGTCTGAGCAGCGGAGGAACCATGATGTAACTTTATCAGAGGCCAAGGCCTCGGGAACCTGGGGCTCGAACAGTCAGGAGATGGGGGTCTCACCTCCAGTAGAGAGGAAATGTTGCCTTTCCTATATTGCTCTAGCTTGCTCTCAGTGGATGGGATGATGATACACCTACACACCCAAGTGAAGATACCCAAGTGAAGGTATCTTTCTTTGTCCACTAATGCAAGTGCCAGTCCTCTGGAAGAACCCTCAGAGACAAACCCAGAAGCAATGCTTCACAACCTACATGGGCGTCCATCCTTTCTTCCAGGCATGGTGACACCTAAAATCAAACCTCACAAGTGTCTACCAGGTGTCAAATGCTGGGGGGTAGGGGTTAATGAATCTGCGAATGGGCAGACACAGTCTTGGCAAAGCAATGTACTTGCCTGTTTCAAGTGCCTTTATGAGATACAGAAGCAGGACAATATGGAAATGAGTCCAAGAGAGAAGATGGTCAGGTGTCTGCAGAGTCAAACAGTCCTTGGGCTCCCAACTCTCCCTATCCGTGCTCCCTCCAAAAAGGATCGGAGAGTTTGTTGGATGATGGAGTGGTCCTGATGCGTAGTATAGAGATGGGATGTTCTCCAAGAGTGTGCTGGCCACAGTTCACTGGTTATATTTAAAATTTGAAGTGTCTGGTAAATTTCAACATTCAGTGATACACAGAACTTGGAAAGTCATGGTATCAAGGTACCAGGCTATTCTCCTCTCTCCTTGTTCTCCCAACCCCACCATCTCTACCGTTCCTTTACTCAACACCCACACTCTGCTCCTAGCTGGTTTTTGGAATCACATCTGCAATCCCTGGGCCAGAGGGGAAATGTTCCTCTCATCTTTTTTTAATGTGTAACCTTTTCCCTTGTGATGTATTTAAGCCAATGAGTCTGCATGCCTTGCCTTCAAAAATATCGATTTTCTGAAAGCTCTTTTCCTGGTGGGAAACTGGGATGAATGTAAGATATGGAGACTGCTAGGAAAATTACAGGCCTGTGGGAGCCTACTTTCACTCTGTAGACATGGATGGGCAAATTATTTGCCACAGATTAGATGCCACACTGAGTTTGAGCAGGAGGCAGGCTGCAATTTTCTTAAAGTAACAAAATGGTGGACCTATGGGGAAAATGGAGACAACTACCAGTGAAATCATCTTCTGTCAAATAATGAGATGGGTACTTTCAATTTTGCCCGAGACACTGGAAAATGAGAGCAGACACTGACCCAGATATGTTACATGCTCTGATATCTTATCAAGTGTTTGTCCCATAAAGGAAGCACTGATAGGTGACCCAGAAAAAAAAAATTCTAATCATCCAGAACTTTACAAAAGGGGTCAAAGGAGCGTCCTTTATGTCTGTCAGTGTGTGTGTGTGTGTGTGTTCTGAAAATGAAGAACTGAGTGGCTCCTGAGCTTCATATGAAGGGGTCTGAAGAACTGCAGGGACTAGGTAGTCAACAGAGCACTGAACACTGCCTTTAAGGACCCACCATGTGCCTTCTGGGAGGGATGAGACCTGGCTAAGCTGTGGGTGATGAGTGTGTCCTCAGTTTCCTGTGAGGGTTGACAGAGTGTGTCCCCGACCTGCTGAGAATCTGCTAGAAGATGCCACAGAGTGAATAGCCCCATTGCTGTTTCTTTTGAGGCAGGATCTCATGTAGCCTCAAAATCTATTGTAGTTGAGGATAACTTTGAACTTCTGGCCCTATTGCCTCTACCTCACAAGTGCTGGGATTATAAACCCATGTCATCTTGCTCAACTTATGTGGTATGAGGGGCTTTGTGCACACTGGGAGACATTCTCCAGTTACATTTCCAGCCCACAAAGCCTTCTCTGAAGACTCCTAAACTACTGTTCTTTTAAAACTATTTTTAAAGTTTTGATGGTATAATTATGTCATTTCCTCCTTCCTTTCCTCCCTTTAAACCACCGACCATCCTTGCTGTCATCTTTCAAATTTATTACCTCTTTTTCTTTAAGTGTCTGTGAGTGTGTGTGTATATTCCTACATATGTAAATACAACCTGTTTGGTCTGTATAATATTATGTGCATGTATGTTTCAGTACTGACTGGATGGTATTGGATAACCAGTTGGTGTGGTGTTTCTTCAAGAAGACGTGCTCCCACTCTCAGCATTCCTTCTGATGCCTGTAAGTCTTTGTATGCAATTGAGACCTTATTAGCTTTCCTCCTACATTAGCAGGTCTATTGATGTTTTCCTTGTTCAGGTCATGTTTAGGCAACCACGGTGTTGAATCTTCACCTCTAAGAGACACACTGTCATAGCAAACTTCCTGTTCCTCTGGTTCTTAATCTTTCTGCTCTATCTTCCACAGTGGTCTTGGCATCTTAGGTGCAGGAGTTGTATCGTAGATATATCAGTTGTGATTAGGTTCCATGGCTCTGCATTTTGTTTGGTTGTGGGTTTTTTTCTGTAGTGGGCTCCCTCTGCTGCAAAGAGAAGTTCCCTTGACGAGGGGTGAGGTGCCTCCTTGTCTGTGGGTATTAGGATAATATTTAGAGTATAGTTGTGGATTGTGATGGTTTAGTAAAGTGGCAGTTGTTGGTTCTCCAAGATCCACAACTTCACTAACCCTAGGTAGTTGGCTAAGCTTCCAGAACCAGGCATAATATGCCTCTTATTGGGTGGGTCTTAAGTCCAATTAGAGAACCACTGACCATTGCCAAGGAATGCCTACCTGGGAACATTTTATTTAAACTATGTATGTAGCTGGCTGGAGTGGCGCAGGGCTTTAATCCCAGCACTTGGGAGGCAGATGCAGATGGATCTCCGAGTTTGAGGCCAGCCTGGTGTGCAGAGAGAACTCCAGGACAGCCAAAGCTACACAGAGAAACACTGTCTCGAAAATACATAAGTAAATAAATAAATGTGTATATGTACATATGGATGTACGTATGTACATATATGTAGACTTAGATGTGCTATAGGTATTTTTAGGCAGATAGATAACACTATGACCCCTCATAACCTTCTCAGACCGTTATTTTACCCTCCTCCCTCTGTACTCATCTCCCTCCTCTGTCCCTAACTACCCTGCTACCCCATTTTCCCCATTTCCCACTTTAGGTCACATATCCCTGCTATTCTCCCTCTCCATTGCTCCCCCTACCCACACAATGATCTCGTTTTACTTTCCTGGTTTCTGCAGTTACTCCAGGTTCTATATTCACGTCTCAATAGTTGGACCTACGAGCCCCAGATGAGAGAGAACATGCAATGTTCTCTCTGTGTTTCCTCAATCGGTCTGACTTTCTGGTTCCATCCATTTACATGCAGTTTCCTGTCCAGGAGTTCATTTTCTTTATAGCTGCATGGTATTCACCGTGTCCATAGTGTGTCTGTACCACATTTTAACTATCTGTTCATTGGGTGAAGGCCATTGTCTTAATTTCTTAGCTATTATGGACAGAGCAGCAGTGAATGTGGCTGAGCAAGAGTCTGTGGAGTAAGGCATTGAGTCTTTTGGGCATGTGTCCAAGAATGGTCTGACTCAGTCATGTAGTAAATTTATGTTTAAGTTTTTGAGAATTCATTTGCAATCTCACTGACCCACATCCTCTCCAGCATTTCCCAAGCTACTTTTGTCTTCTCTCTTGAATCTTGGGGAGAGATACAGATATGTTTTAAATG